AAAAATATTATTATTCATGAAAATAATTAATTTCTTGTGAAGAATTTTATTCAAATATTTTTAAATAATTGAATTTCTCAGAATTTTTTAAAACTTTTTGAAAATAATTAAATTCCATCAAGAAATTTCATTAGAAAATTGAAAATAATTGAAATCTGACAAAAAATTTAAAAAAATTCTTTTTTAAATAATTGAATTCCTGTGAAAATGTTTATTTTTGAAAAGAATTGAATTCTTGGGAAGAATTTTATTAAAATTTCTAAAATAATTGAATTGCTTTAAAGAATTTTACTTCTTACGAAAATAATTGAATTCTTTCGAAGATTCTTACAAACATTTTTGATAATAATTTTATTTCTAGTAAGAACGTTATATTTTACAAAAATAATTTTATTCTACGACCAATTTTAATGTAATTTTTCAATAAAGCATTTTATCAAAATTTTTTTAAATAATTAAATTCTCCAGAAGAATTGTATTGAAAATAATTGAATTGCATAGGAAAGTTTTATTAAAATCGCAAGTTTATTAACTAAATCTTGTAAAAAAATTTGCCAAATTTTTTTTAAATAATAAAATTTTTAAAAGAATTTTATTTAAATTTTTCAAAATAATTGAATTTCTTAGAACTATTTTTCAATTCTTTGAATATATTTGAATTCTTTAGAGAAACTTCATTAAAAATTAAAAATTATTGAACTGGTGCGAAGAAATATTTAAAAAAATTGGTATGTATTTGAATTCCTGTGGAATTTTTATTAAAATTCTGTGTAAATAATAGGATTCTTTTGTAAAATTTTATTAAAATAGTAGATGTTAAAAATAATTGAAATGAGAAAAATTTTTAAAATGTGCCAAGAATTTTATTAAATTTTTTGAAAATAATTCAATTTCGGAGAAGAATAATTTATTATTTTTAAAGATAATTGAAATTTTGACGAGAGTTTTAAAAAATTTTTGAACATAATTAAATTTATGCGAAGAAGTTCATCACTTTTAAAAATAATTAAATTTCTGTAATCAGTTGTTCTTAAAATTTCTATTTAAATTCATTAAAAAATGATATTTTTAAAAATTTCAAATTGAAACCTTTGAAGTTCATCTATTTATGAAGATTGTAAACACAACTCTTTTGAAATCCAATTAATTTTGAAATTTTTAAGTAAAATTATTCATTAAATAATTTCTAAGTAATAATTTCTTATATCTTCAAGAATTAAGTTATTTAAAAAGAAATTATTGTTAGAAATAGAAAAAATTGAAAGATTTGTATTAGAATTCTTGTCAATTTCATAGTTTATGAGGCAAACAAAAAAAACAACAACAAAATTCAGAATATTCTTATAAATTCTAAAAATTTAATTTTTTCCAGTATTTTTAATAAAAATTTCTGACTTTTCCCTGATTTCCCTGACTTGTGGCAACCTTGATTTATTATAATCCACAACACTGTAAACAACTATTTTAATCCATAAATAACAATTTGCTGTTGTGTATAATTTTCTTTTTTCGATCCAAATGATTCTGGTAACTAATCTGAAAAGCTCTGGGATGATTCTAAATCTTGTGTGGTTGAGCCTTGCTAATCTTGCACGTAACAACTTGGGGTATATTTTCATAGTGGGAGAGAATGCGATGAGTTATGAAAAGCGTAACTTATTTTCGTGCGAGAAAGGACCCTCTCTATATGTGGCTAAATGGCAAACGATAAAGACGACGTTGACGACAAAAGGGATGTTAGAAATTTTAGATGATTATCAAATTTGCAAATTTATCGCAAAATGAAGACACATCCAGCTTCGAGTGGCTCTTAAATATACAAGATGTGTATATAATAATATCGCACACCACGTCAAGTGGAAAAGGGATTTTCCTTAACGAGCTTGTTTAGTATGTGTATATGTTGTGTATATGTGCATAATATTACCATGCAATTCATAAGTTTTAAAGGAGTTTTAACTGTTAAGAAGAGAGTAACTCCAGAAGAAAGTTTTCTCCTTATTTCGCGGAATCTGTCAGGATCGTAAAGTTTCAAGTCCTATATAAACCACAGGGAATTCAACGAAGGAAGATGAATTGAAGAAAATTTCAAATTAACTTAAAATTTTCAAAATTTTGATACAATTCTCATAATAAATTTTGCGACCATAACTATAAACTTAAGTTCTAAAGTTTATATAATAAATATTAAATCCTGAGATCCTCCTCACTCATCACTGAGTTGGAAAATTTTAATAATTTTCAAATTAAATTTTCCTCATACAGATGTAATTATTATCTTCAAACATTATTTTTCCATAATCCATTTAAGGAAAAAAAAGAGCACTTATTTCAATCTCAAATTACTTAAATTAATTTTTCTTATCCCTTGTTTTTTTTAATAAATAATTTTATCAATTTATTTTATCATGATAGATTCATCATTATTTTTGCCACATTTGTGATAATTTTAAGTTAAAAATACAACTGAAAAACAATATTAATCCGAAATTCTTATCATTTATAGATTTGTCTTCGAATTAAGATATGATAATTTACAAATTAACATTAATTTCAGACAAATAATGCTGAAAAATATTATTTTTATGTCAAAATTGTTTGATTGATTGAGAGTTATGAGAAAAAGAGGGAGGTAAAGAGAGGAAAATAATTATAATTGGATAGATTTAATCTAGCCGACTTGAGCACGTTTATCTAATCATTGTGATAAAATAATTAAAAAAACATTTGTACAATACAAGGGAGAAAAAAAAGAAGTGAGGAAATTTTAAAAGAAATTTTACCACATTTCTATAAAATTTCTCATTACCCCAATTTTAATAGGGTTGTTACAAAACTTTTATTTTATTTTTTCCTGATACCCAGACAAAATTTTGACTTTTGTTCTGATGTAATATTGTCCTTCTGATAAAATTTAAAGGGAGTTCAATTATATATAAAGAAAAATCTTTAAAAGCAAAAATTTAATCCAAAATTTTTAGCATGTCTGTTAAAAATAAGATTTTTTACTGTAGTTAACTTTTATAAATTATTTTCAAAAATTTCATTAAAATTCTTAAAAAAAAGCTTTACTTTTAGTAGAATTTTTAAAAAATTTCAATTATTTCAACAATTTTCAATTAATTGCTTATAAAAATTAAATAATCTTCAAAAAATAGAATTGAAAAATTATAAATACCTGATTTTTCAGAATTTCAAATAAAACTTCTAAAAAATTAAGTACTTTTTCAAAAAATTCAACTTTAAATCTTATTAAATTTAACTATAATTGTGGCAAAGAATTTTATTACAATTTTTTTAAATAATTCAATTGTTTGGGAGAATTTTACTAAATTCATTTTAAATCAATAAAACTTTTGGAGAAATTAGTAATTTATGTTATTTATTTACTATTAACAGACATACAAAAAACAAAAAGCCCTTTTAATTTAATTAAAATTGTACTAAAAATAATTAAATTCAAATAAAGAATTTTGTCAAAATTATAGAAAATATTTTAATTTCTGTGAAGAATTTTATTAAACTGTTTAAAAATAATTTAATTCTTACGACAATCTTTGTTGAAATTATATTGAAAATAATTAAACTCATATGAAGAATTTTATTTAAATATTTCAAAATAATTCAATTTTTCAGAGAAATTTTCAAAAAAATTTTATTAAAAATAAGAGAATTCTTGCAAAGAATTTTATTATTTATAAAAATAATTAGATTTTTGAGAAGATTTTTCCTAAAACTTTTTTAAAAAATCAAATCCCTCTAATAAATTTATTATTTACTATTAAGTAATTAAATTTTTCTCCAGAATTTTATTACAATTAAAAAACACTAAATTCGTCAGTAGAATTTTATTATTTATAAGAAAATAATTGAATTCTTGCGAAGAATTTTACTAAAATTTTCGTAAAAAATTGAATTTCTCCGAAGAATTTTTTTAGTTGTAAAAGTAATTGAATTCCTACAAAGAATTTTATTTTTTATAAAAATAATTGAATTTTTGCCGAGAATTATACTAAAATTTTTCTGAAAAATTTAATTCCTCCAAAGAATTTTATAATTTGTAAAAGTAATTGAATTCCTGCGAAGAATTTTATTGATGAAAATTATTTTATTTTTGTATAAGAATTTGTTTCAGATTTTTGAGAATAATTCAATTCCTACGAATAATTATATAGTTTATGCAAATAATTGAATTTTTTATATATTTTTAAAAATAATTGAATAATTTCGAGAAATTTATTTAAAATTGTATTCAGAATAATTCAATTCTTATACAGAATTTTATCAAAATTTTTGTAATTATTTGAATTCTTTCAAATATTTGATTATTTCATGAAAATAATTGAATTCTTTCTAAGAATTTTTGTAAAATTTTTATAAAATATGGAATTCCTCCAAAGAATTTTATTATATTATATAAAAGTGATTGAATTCTTGCGAAGAGTTTTATTATTTAGAAGATAATTGAAATTTTGCCGAGAATTATACTAAAATTTTTGTAAAAAAATGAATTGCTGCTAAGAATTTTATTGTCTGCAAAAGTAATTGAATTTTTGCTAAGAATTTTATTATTTATGAAATTACTTAGGAATCTTTATTAAAATTTAAATGAAAATAATTTAATTCCTCCGAAGAATTTTATTACCTATTTATGAAAACTATTGTATTGTTGTAAAGAATTCGTTTTCAATTTTTGAGAATAATTGAATTTCTGTGATTAATTATATTGTTTATGCAAATAATTAAATTCTTCAATTATTTGATTGAATTTTTCAATAATTTTATAGAATGTAGCTTTTAAATTGGCCCAATAAATTAATTTAGAAAGGAAAATGATGATACAATAATGACAAATATTAATTTTTCTTCAACATACACAAGATATGATGAAATAATCAAGACAAATTCAGTTCAAGATGCAACATTCATTATCTGTTACTTGACAGTAGATAAAATAAAAGCAACTCGCGGTGAAAATTTATTCAGTCGTTTAATATCGGTCTTGTTATTAACTCTCTCCACACATACCAACCATGGAGTCGATAAGTTTACTGTTAATTATAATCACACTATTTTTGGCTACAATTATCCTCGCTCTAATTCTCTGTCATCAAACAAATTTCTGGGAACGAAAAGGAATTCCTTATTTAAAACCCCTAATACCAGTATTAGGCAGTATGTCCATAATATTATTTCGTCGCTCCTCGTTCTACGATGGTTTAAATTATCTCTACAATAAATTTCCCGACGCAAAATATTACGGAATGATGATTTTACATACACCATTAATTTTGCTTCGTGATCCCGAATTAATTAAAGAAATCTGTGTGAAAAATTTCGATAATTTTATCGATCGTCGCAGTTTTATGACTGAAGAAATGGACCCAGTTTATGGGAGAAATGTATTTTCATTGAAAGGCGATCGTTGGAAGAAGATGAGAAATACTTTGAGTCCAGCTTACACTGCCGCTAAAATGCGAATCATGTTTGAATTAGTTGAAAAATGTGCTCGCGATTTTATTCAATATTTCATCGATCATCCAAATGAAGCGAATTCTGTTGAACTGTCAGATGCATTTACCAGATATTGTAACGATGTAATAGCTACCGCTGCATTTGGAATCACTGTTAATTCACTAACAGATCGTGAAAATGAATTTTACAAGAGGGGAAAAAATTCCTTTAATTTAGATAGTCCAAAACGTTTTGTTAAATTCATTGCTTTTCGTTTATTTCCAAAATTAATGCATCTACTTGGTATAACATTTCTAGCTAAAAAATCTGATCGTTTTTTCAAGAAAATCATTACCGAAACAGTGATAACGAGAGATGAGAAAAATATAATTAGGCCTGATATGATACACTTGTTGATGGAAGCTAGAAATAAGGATGATAACGATTTATCAATGGATGATATCATTGCACAAGCATTTTTGTTCTTTTTGGCAGGTTTCGATTCATCATCAGGTCTCATGAAATTTATGGCCCATGAATTAGCGGTAAATTTCGAAATTCAAAAGAAGCTGCAAGAAGAAGTAGACAATCTTTACCAGAATGATGAAAACGTTGACGATTTGTACGAAAAATTATCAGAATTAAAATACATGGACATGGTGATATCGGAAGCATTACGAAAGTACCCTCCTAATCCTTTGATAGACAGACTCTGTGTAAAGGAGTACGATTTTCCAAAACCCACACCAGACAGTGTGCCATACACCGTAAAACCAAATAATGCCATTTGGATACCAATCTACGCTTTACATCATGATCCGCAATATTTTCCTGAACCAGAAAAATTTGATCCTGAAAGATTTAATGCTGAAAATAAGAACAAAATTCATCCATATTCCTATTTACCGTTTGGTCTTGGACCACGAAAATGTATTGGAAATCGATTTTCCCTAATGGAAACTAAACTAATTTTCGTCCTCATTTTGCGTAATTTCACTTTGAAGCCCACTGAGAAAACTAAACATCCCATTGAATTTGCCAACGGTGGTGGAATGAAGGTCAAGGATGGTCTTTGGATCGAGTTTGAGAAGAGGGTATTTGATTGCTAACACGGAAATATTCTCTAAAATATAATTACTTTTTCTATTACTCCAACTACTGTAATTACATTCATTTACTCTATTACTTCACTCTACTGTTCATGCTACTTTTTCTAACTATAGTCTAAAACTATTATAAACTTTAAATTAGTTAATCTCTAACCAGTGTGATAAAATAATCACTGATAAATATATGACAAGGAAATATCTACTATAAGTAGTGACATATTCTTCATAAATAAAAATGTGAGTAAAAATTAATAAAAAATAAAAAAAATCTTCATAAAAATCAAAACTTTTGTAAATGATGTAATTAATGTTAATAAATAATAAAAAAAATGATTGTTTCTCATTATTTTATACACAATACATTTATCTGATTAAAGTATTCAGAAATAAGCATTTAATCGATTGATTAATTTAAATTTGTTAAAAATAATTTTAAAAAAATAAATTAAATTAAATTAATTAATTAAATTATTTTAAAAATAATTACAGTCAAAAATTAACATTTATTCATTCATAAAAACGGTAAGTGTTATTTATTTTATAAAAAAATGAATTTTATTTATTTTTAATATCTTCTTCTACGTAGAGTTAAAAAATTAATTTTTAGAAAATTCATATCACTTCTATTCATAATAGTTATAATTTTTACTAATTCCTATTTAAAGAATATGTTTTGTGATACCATTTTTGTAAGAAAAAATTCGAAATTATTCTATTTTTCATAATTTTGCGTCAATAAGTAAATTTATCTTTAATTTTAAAAGACAAAACTTTTGTTAAAAAATATAATTTTTGTAACATTTATAATTTTGAATGTGAAATTGTAATCTGATTCTAGCATAAAATTTTAATAAAATGTTTTTAAATAACTCAATTGTTTCAAATAATTTTAATAGAATTTTTGAAAATAATTCATTTCTTTAGAGAATTTCAATTAAAATTGCATTGAAAATAATAAATTTCTTCTGTAGGTTTTCCTCAAAATTTTTAAAAGTAATTAGATTCTTTGCAAAGAATATTATTAAATTTTTTTAACAGGGTGTCCAGCGATTCTTTAAAAAAAAATTCAAGGACTTTTCAAGGTTTTTAAGGCCCAAAATAATTTTTTTCAAGGTCCATTTTTAGGGTACTAATTTTCAAAATATTTGTTATTTATAATCGAATTTAAATTAGTAAAAATGATTACTAATTTGATTTAGTGACTGACTTTTTGCTTTTGAATTAGAAAATTTTACTAGTTAATAGTAATTTCCACTAATTTATCAGTAAAAATAAACTAATTCAAAAGCAAAAAATCAGTAACTAATGCAAATTAGTAAATATTTTTACTAATTAAAATTTAGAGAGTATTTATAAAGAATTTTATAATTTCTACCTACAACAGTTACTCATAAATAAAATTAAATAAATATATAAATAAAAAATAAATAAATACAATTTATTGATAAAATATTAGAAATATAAAGAACATCGATTTAAGAAACATCAATCAAAATTATTTTTAAATAATTGAATTCTTTTGGAAATTTCTATTAAAAATAATAGATATACAAATTATTGAATTAACAAAAATTTTTTAAAATAATTGAAATTTTGCAATGAAGTTTATTAAAATGTTTAAAAATAATTGAATTACTGCGAAGAATTTAATGCCAAATTTTAAAACACATTTTATTAAATGAATATTTTGAAAATTTTTGAAAATAATTGAAAATTACTGCAAAGAATTTAATGCCAAATTTTGAAACAATTGATTTTTGCGAAAAAAATTATGCAAATTCTATTTTAAATAATTGAATTAATGTAACAAATTTTTTTTTAAATAATTGAAAGTTTGTGTAGAGTTTTTTAAAAACTTTTGTTTAATAATTAAATTCTTTCGTGAAATTTTATTAAAATAATAGAATATTGAAAACCATCGAAGCAAACAAACATTTTTTAAATAATTTGAAATTTTGCCACGATTTTTATTAAAATTTTTAAAAATATTTGATTTCTTGTGATGAATACTATTATTTATATTAAAATAATTGAATTTTGCAATGAATTTTATTAAAATTCCACAAAATAATTTAACTTTGTCGAAGAATATTATTGTTTATTCATAAAGATAATTGGAATTTTGACCACAATGTTCTTTTTGATTTTTTGAAAATAATTGAATTTCTGAAAAGAAATTAATTAATTTTTAAAATAATTGAATTCTTGTGATGAATATATTGTTATTTATGAAAATAATTGTATTTTGTAATGAATTTTATTAAAGTACCTGAATATAATTGAAATTCAGCGAAGAATTTTTATATTTATGAAGATAATTGAAATATTGACGAGAATTCAACTTAAAACATCAAGGAAATAAATCTCACTTTTAAGAATTTTAATTTTTCAAGGTTTTGTCATAAAATTCAAGTACTTTTCAAGGTTTTTAAGGTTTTCAAGGTAGCTGGACACTCTGTTTAAGTAATTCAATTCTTCAAAGAATTCTAAATTCAAATCTACAATTTTATTAAAATTGTATTAAAAACAAAGGAAATCCTGCGAAGAATTTTATTGTTTACAAAAATTATTGAATTCTTGTAAAACATTCTATTACAATTTTCAAAAATAATTGAATTCTTATGAGAAGTTCTATTTAAATTCTTTTGAGGAATTAAATTAAAATTGTGTTGAAAATAATTCAATTCTTATAAAGAAATTTATCAAAACTTTCTAAAATAATTGTAAACTTTCAAAAAATTTTATCAAAATTTATAAAAATATTTTAAATATTTTAAAGAATTTTATTAAAATTTAAAAAAATAATTAAATTTTGTTTAGAAAATTTTAATTCAAAATAATTGAATTTCCTCGAAGATAATAATTGAATTCTTGTCAAAAATTCTATTAAAATTTTTGAACCTAATAAAATTCTTTTGAAGGATTCAATTCAAAATGTATAATGTTTTAAAAATAATTGAAAACTTTCAAAGAATTTGATTAAAATTTATGAAAATAATTGAAATTTTTCAAAGAATTTTGTTCAAATTTAAAAAAATAATTGAATTTTGTCGAGAATCTTTATTAAAATTTTAATGAAAAGAAGTGGATTTTGACGAAGGTAATAATTGAATTTTAATTATTATTTATTTTTAATTTAATTTCTATTAAAATTTTTTAATCTCATGGAATTTTTTCAGAAATTTAATTAAAATTGTATTTAAAATAATTTAATTCCTGTAAAGAAATTTATAAAAATTTTAGAATATAATTGAACTTCTGAGAAGAATTGAATTAATTATATGTTGTATTCGAGGAATTCAATTAAAATTGAATTGCAAATAATTGAAAAATAAAAAAAAAAATTCATCAACATTTTTGAAAATAATTAAAATCTTTACAGAATTTTATTAAAAATTTTAAAAACAATTGAATTGTATCGAGTATCTTTATTAAAATTTTTTTAAAAATAATTGAATTTTTGCCGAAGAATTTTACTATTTATGACAAAAATTAAACTCTTGTGAAAAATTCATTTAAAATTTTTGAAAATAATTGAATTCTATAGAGAAATTCAATTAAAATTATATTAAAAATAATTTCTTTCAAAGAATTTTATTAAAATTAAAAAAATAATTGAACTGTTTCGAGAATCTTCATTAATATTGTTTTGAAAATAATTGATTTCTTATAAAAAATGTTATCAAAATTTTTGAAAATAATTTGAATTTTCTCCAAGAATTTTATTACAATATTTTTGTATACCTAGTTCGTTTTTTTAGCGAAATTTTATTCAAATTATTATATTTAATTTTTGATTTTGTTTATTTAATTTTATTTAATTTAACTTAATTAATTCCATTTTTGTAAATATTATACTTATGAATTTATTTCCACTAATTTCTAAAATTACATTATAAAAATAATTGAATTTTTCCAAAAAATCTTTTCTATTTATAAAAATAATAGTTGAATTCCAACGAAGAATTTTATTAAAAATTTAGAAAATAATGAACAACATTAATAATAATAATTAGTTAATTAATAAGTGGATTTTTAAAATTTTGAATTTAAAATTATTCAAAAATCAAAGTTGATTGAAGGTGATATTTGAAAATAAAAGATTTCGTAATTTGCATACTAATAAGTGGAATACCTGTTTTTGCGCGCCTAATATTCGCCAGAGTTTAATAAATATTAAATAGGTAATTACTAATTTTTAATAATTTTAGAACAATCTTTTTTAAATAACTTTTAAAACTTATTTAACTTTTAAAATATTTTAAAGAAAGAAATTTTGTTTTTGACCAAAATTTTTTTGTTAAACGTCGTTAAAAATCATGTTTGATAAAAATTCATGTAAAGAAATGATTAGTAAAAAATTAAGACAAAGAATCTTTTGTAGAAACATTTACATATTTGCAAATAGCGAGCGAATAAAAGCAAAAACTTTTAAAAATACATCACAAAATGAGTTTTAGAAAACATTTTCTAAATGATGTCATTTAAAGACCATTGTTGAAAACAATTTTAATATATGCACTAATTCAAGAAGTTTATGTAAATTACAAAACGACAGTTTCTAAAAGCAGTAAAAAATTTTCCTAATAAAATCTCGAAAATCACTTTGTCATGAAAATACTATTTTGCATTTTATGCTACATTGCGTGTAAAAATAAAACAGTGCGCAGTTGGTATGTAGTTTATAAAACTGTACGTGAGTGTACATAGATGCTCGGGTATTTAAACTATATATATATATATAATCACTGGACTCATAGCAATATACGCAGTGGCACATACAGTGTTTGCGCCACTCTCGCATCATCAATTGCTAATATTAACCAACTCTCTCTGAACATGGAATCGTTAAATCTGGCGATTCTCACTATTTGTTTAGGTGCAATTGGTGTTCTGATTTATTTTTATCGTCAAATAAATTTTTGGAAACAAAGAGGAATACCACAAATCCAATGTCTACCAATTGTCGGCAGTCATTTGCGTCTCATAACAGGAAGAATGGCAGTAAGTGATTTTGCAAAGCACATATACAATTGTCATCCAAATGCAAAATATTTCGGTATGATGGACTTTAATACACCGGTGGCAGTTGTACGTGATCCTGAATTAATTAAAGAAATAGGCGTTAAAAGTTTCGAGCATTTTCTCGATCACAAAAGTTTTCTCGACGAAACAATGGATCCGATTTTCGGTAAAAATGTCTTTTCCCTAAAGGGCGATCGTTGGAAACAAATGAGAAATACCCTCAGTCCATCATTTACGGCAGTAAAAATGAAATTCATGTTCGAATTAATTGATAAATGCGCGAGTGATTTTGTGAAATATTTTTTAGAGCATGAGGATGAAACAATGTCTATTAATACCAAGGACGCATTTACGAGATACACTAACGACGTCATAGCAACCGCTGCATTTGGTATAAGCGTAAATTCAATGAAGGACAAAGAGAATGAATTTTACGTTCATGGAGCTGATGCATCATCATTTAGGGGTTTTTGGCGATTCGCAAAATTCATAATATTTCGAATATGTCCGGGATTTTTGAGATTTATTGGCGAGCCGTTCGTGTCACGTTCGTCGGCACGATTTTTCAAGGCAGTGATACGTGAGACTCTTAAAGCAAGAGAAGAAAATGGAATTGTACGACCGGATATGATTCATTTGCTTATGGAGGCGAAGGAAAAGGACGATGGTATTGATTTATCAGTTGATGATATTGTGGCACAAAGTTTTATTTTTTTTATAGCTGGTTTTGAAACATCATCAACGCTAATGAGTTTTCTCGCACATGAATTGGTCATGAATCCGGATGTTCAGGAAAAATTGCGTAACGAAGTGGACATGGTGATGAAAGTAAATAATGGTGAAATCAATTACGATACTCTCACTAAAATGAAATATCTCGATATGGTTGTTTCAGAGGTGCTCCGAAAGTATCCGCCAGCTCCTGTTGTTGATAGAGTTTGTGTGAAAACTTACACTTTACCAAAACCCACACCAGATAGTGGGGAATATATTGCTGAACCAAACACATCAATTTGGATACCGGTTATTGGTTTACATCATGATCCAAAATACTTTCCAAATCCAGAAAAGTTCGATCCAGAAAGATTTAGTGATGAGAATAAGGATGATATTAATCCCTACACTTATCTACCGTTTGGTCTTGGACCACGCAAATGTATCGGAAATCGATTTGCCCTAATGGAGACGAAATTACTTCTCATTTACATACTGAAGCATTTTATTTTGGAACGAACGGAAAAGACGCAACATCCACTTAAATACGAAATCAGTGTCACTATTGGAGTTAAAGGTAGTACCTGGGCAAAATTTGTCAGAAGAACACCAAAAGTCACATAAAGAAATATTCAACACTAATAGACTGTAACATTTTTATGTAACGATGCGAAAATGTTTTATCTAATTTAAAAATATTTCTCTTTTTCATATAAAAGCATCTTTAATTCATAATATTTCTTCACTTCATTTATTTTTTATTTTACTTTACTTTGTCATTTCAATTGTGTCATTTCCAAATTTACTTTATTCTACAAAAAGTCATCAAATGAACGCATATTTCATACGATTTTATTTGTACATAATTAAATTTAATAGAAAATAAAAGACTTTACCTAAGAAACGAAAAAAAATGTTTCCTCACTCTTTAAATCTGAATAAGATAAAAATAAAAAACTGACAATAAGTTACATTCAATTTTTCTAGTTGTAATTATCATAATTTTTGAAGATAAAAACTTTTTGCCTTAAACAAAATGCAAAAAGGTAGCAAAAAGTAGCATTCAATCAAACTAAAAAAAGTAGTAAAAAAGTGCTATGGAGAAATTAAACTTGACAACCAAAAAAAAACTCGTTTTAGAAACTTCACAAAAATTTCATTCTATATTTTACTTTCCTGCCTTTTTCCCAGTTTTCATAATAAATATTTACTTTTCACCTATTTATGAAAATAATTGAATTTTTGCGAACGATTTTATTAGAATTTTTTAAAATAATTGAATTTCCAAGAAGAAATTTATTAATTTTAAAAATAATTGAATTCTTGTGATGAATATTGTTATTTATGAAAATAATTGAATTTTTGAGAATAATTTTGTTATTTATTGACATAATTGATTTCTTTCTAAGAATTATTTATGTAAATAATTGAATTCTTGAAAAGAATTTTATTCAAATATATTTTTAAATACATAATTGATTTTTCGAGGGATTGAAATTAAATTTTTAAGAATAATTACATTTTTTGAGCAATTCCCGTAAAATCGTACTAAAAATAATTGAAATTCTGCGATGAATTTTATTATTTATGAAAATAATTTTATAGTTGCAAAGAATTTTATTAAAATTTCCAAAAATAATTGAATTCCTCAGAAAAATTTTATTATTTATGAAAATAATTGAAGTACTGCAAAAAATTTTATTAAAATTTTTAAAAATAATTGAATTTCTGTGAAACATTTTGTTATTTTTGAAAATGATTGAATTCCAAAAAATTTTTTAAAATAATTGTTAGAAAATATTGTAATAATAATCAAGTTTTTTTTTATGAATTTTAATGACAAATATGAAAATACGTAATTTTCCAAAATTTTAATGAATAAGTCCGATGTAATATTTTTAAAAATTTGAATTTATACCTTTTGAAGATAATTAATTTATTTTTTAAAAAGAATTAAATTTCTTTATACAGAATTTTTGTAAAATTTTAAAAACTAATCAATTTTTGTAAGGCAGAATTTTAATTAAAAATTTTGAAAATAATTGTTTTCTTTAAAAATGTTCACAATAATTCTAAAAAATATTTGATTTTTATAAAAATGTCAATATTTTAATTTTTTGTAGATATTTGAAGTTTTGGAAATATGTAATTAAAAATATTGAAAAAATTCAATTTTCAAAAACTATAATAAAAAGAGTCTAAGAATTTAATTATATTTAAAATTTGCAATTCAAATTCTCCAAAAAATGATTTTCAAAAACTATAAACTATAATGAACCACTTTAAAAAAACCAATTATTTTCAATAAAAATTTTAACTTTTTAACTTTATATTTCGAACATTTAATTATTTTAGAAAAAGGCCTGTGTGTAAGAAATAAATTAATTAAAAATAGTAACAAAGGGAAAAACTCACCGTTTTGCTGGTCGACACAGTATTTTCCGCAGGGATTTCCAGGACTTTTGGAAGAGCACCAATAATTATCTGCCATGTTTGACCTGAAACAATAAAAAGTAATTTAAAAAATCAAAAGTCAATTTTACTGACAAAGATAAAAGAATAAAGCCAATAGGCTACAAGAAAAAAAAAATATTTACTATATCTAAAAGATTAAAATATGTAAATAAATATTAGGCAGATTCTTGCAAAAAGAAACGAAATTAAACATATTTTACAATTGGATTAAAAGTAATTTTTATTGAATCAAACTTTATTATGTATTGAATCGAAATTATTATTTTTAATTCAAAAATAATTTTTGGTTGACTGTATAACAAAGATTATTATATGTTTGATTCAAATATATTGTTTTCTCAGTGTGATTTCAATTATAATTTCATTTATGATTTTTTTTAACAATGTAAGAGTATTATATTAGAGAATATAAGATAATGTTGTCTTCTATTAATCAGAATTGTCTATATTAATCAGTCAAAATAATAATAAATTAGAATTGAGATTAATCAATAAAAATAAAATTAAAACATTTGTTTCCACTAAGAAATATTGAACAAGAATAAATTATTTCTAAATAAAAAATATAAAATAAGAAAAATAGAACATATTTTAAATATAAAAAAACAAATATATGACATTGGCACTAGATCGTTCTATTCTTAAACATTTTTTACCGACAGAAAAATTACACGTTTGGTACACATAATATATGTAGAAAATTCATATTTACGGAAAATTAACTCTAAATTATTCTATGTATTTAATCTCTGTTGAGTAATCGCTACTCGAAAGGAATATTGATATAACTCAGTGTAAGCATCTATAACTTATATATACCTATATACGAAATGCAACAGTGGACATGAAAACAGCAGAAGCGAAAATAAAAATTAGTCTTCAGTGTGACTCCCTCGTTAACTGACGCGTGAAATGGAGTCGCTGAATTTAGCACTTTGGACCCTAATTGTTGGGGCACTTTGCCTTCTATTCTTCTTTCTCCACTACAAAGCACATTTTTGGGAGAGAAAAAATACTCCTCATCTCAGACCCATTCTAATATTCGGAAATACGGTTTCATTCTTCTTTCAAACAGTACCAATAACAAAGTTTGTCAATGACATTTACAATAGTTTCCCCAATGCAAAATATTTCGGAATGATGGACATTCACACCCCAATAGCAGTTCTACGTGATCCCGATTTAATCAAAGAAATATGTGTGAAAAATTTCGACAATTTCCTCGATCATCAGGCATTCATTGACGAAACAATGGATCCTATTTTTGGGAAAAATGTCTTCTCCCTAAAAGGTGAACGTTGGCGTGAAGTAAGAAATACCCTGAGTCCATCATTTACAGCAACAAAAATGAAATTTATGTTTGAATTAATTGAAAAGTGTGCGAAAAATTTTGTACAATATTATATGGAGCATCCGGAAATGACGGAATCAATTGAATCCAAGGACGCATTTACGCGCTATACGAATGACGTAATAGCAACTGCTGCATTTGGTATAAGCGTCGATTCATTAAAGGACAGAGAGAATGAATTTTATTTAATGGGTAAAGATGCGACAGCATTTGGAAAAGGATTACGTGCACTGAAATTTCTCATTTTTCGCACATGTCCACAAATAATGAAATTAATCGGTGAACCATTCCTGGCACGTTCAACTGATCGTTTCTTTAAGAATCTCGTTTCTGAAACGGTGAAAGTACGAAAGGAGAAGAATATCATTCGACCCGATATGATTCACTTAATGATGGAGGCAAGTAACAAGGAAAATGGTGTTAAATTAACAATCGACGATATTATTGCTCAGAGTTTTATTTTCTTCCTGGCTGGTTTTGATACAACAGCAACGGCAATGTGTTTTGTTGCTCATGAATTGGCCATGAATCCAGAAATACAAGATAAATTGCGCAACGAAATTGACACATTCACAGAGAATAGAGAGGAAAAAATAACCTACGAAACAATTTCAAAAATGAAATATCTCGATATGGTGATTTCGGAAGCATTACGAAAATATCCACCAGCACCATCGACAGACAGATTATGCATTAAAAAATACACTTTACCGAAAGCAACACCAGATAGTGAAGAATATACAGCACTACCAAAATCAGTTGTTTGGATTCCTATCCAAGGATTACATCACGATCCAAAATATTATCCAGATCCAGAGAAATTTGATCCTGAGAGATTCAACGATGAGAACAAGGACAAAATTCATCCCTATGCTTATTTACCGTTTGGAATTGGACCACGAAAATGTATTGCCAATCGATTTGCCCTAATGGAAACAAAAATTCTCATTGTTTATATTTTGCAAAAATTCATTTTGGAAAAAAGTGTTAAAACAAAGCATCCAATAGAATTTCAAAAGGGCTTTGCTATTGTCGCTAAAGGTGGTTTATGGGTGAAATTTACAAAAAGAGACAATTAACAACAAAAAAACTATACTGACATTTTTTTATACTATTCTAATTACTTTTCTCAATAATAAAATTTAACATTGAGGTGTCAAAGTGTCTGTCATTGAAATTCAAATTTCCTTAAAACTATATATTTTTTGCATGAATCGTAGAAATCTTGATTAAACTGAGAAAAAAATGTATTTTCATTTGAAAGGAATGATTATGCTAATAAAGAAAAAAAGTGAAATCATTTAAAAACAAGAATGACCGATAAAACTTTCGCACAGACTACTTATGTTAAATCGTTGACCATAATCAGAAAGATTAACGCGTCATTTAAAAGCAATAAACATGTTTTAATTAATTACAGTGTGTAAAAAAATCCTGTCAAGTTTATCATTTTTTATTAAAAAAAATTATATATAAGCAATTGTGTTTATTATTAATGTACTATTTTTTTTAATCTCAAGAATAATTTTAAGAAAAAAAATTCTAGAAAACGGAAAAATCCAATGCTTTCAATAAAATTAAATTTTTTTAACAATGTTGCATAAAAACATTTAGTTTACATAATTCTTATTTTAGGAAATTAATATTTTTATATCTAAAAAATATAATTAAAAATTATAATTTAATTTGTAAATTTAATTCAACATTCTAAAATATTTACTTTTAAATTATTGTCGAAAAACGAATGGGATTCATCAGAAGAATTTTATTATTTATTAGAAAATAATTAAATACTTGTTAAGAATTGTATTAAAATTTTTAAAAATAATTGATTTGTTTTGATGAATTTTATAAAAGAAAATAAAAGTTAATTCAATTTTTTTTAAGGATATTATCAAAATCTTTGAATCAAATTTTCATTCTTTCCAGGAATTCAGTTAAAATTGTATTAAAAATAATCCAATTCTTATAATAAATTTTTTCAAAGCTTTTGAAAATTATTCAAATCTTTCAACAAATTTATTAAAATTTTTTTAAATAATTGAATTCTGTCAAAGAGTTTTATTATTTATGATAATTGAATTCTTGTGAAGAATTATATTTAAATATTTTAAATTAATTAAATTCCTATCCAGAAATTCAATTACAATTGCATACAAAGTAATTGAATTCTTATGCAGATATTACCAAAGTTTTTGAAAATAATTGAAATCTTTTAAGAAATTTTATTACAATTTTGAAAAATAATTCAATTTTTTCGGAAATTTTATTGAAATTTTCAAATATAATTGAATTTAGTGGAAGAATTTTATTATTTCTGATAATTGAATTCTTTTGAAGAATTTTATTTAAATATTTTAAAATAATTAAATTCCTATCCAAAAATTCAATTACAATTGCATTAAAAATAATTGAATTCTTATACAGATATTATCAAAGTTTTTGAAAATAATTGAAATCTTTCAACAATTTTATTAAAATTTCAAAACATTCATTTTGAAGAATTTTATTTAAATTTTTTAAAATAATTAAAGTCCTATCCAGGAATTCAATTACAATTGCATTAAAAGTAATTCAATTCTTATGCAGATTTTATCAAAGTTTTTGAAAATAATTAAAATCTTTTAAGAAATTTTATTACAATTTTGAAAAATAATTCAATTCTTTCGGAACTTTTTATTAAAATTTAAAGGAAAATAATTGAATTTCGGCGAAGATAATAATAATTAAATTTTTGTCAAAGAATTCTATTGTTTTGAGAAATTCAATTCAAAATAAATTAATAACAATTCAATTTTTATAAAGAAATTTATCAAATTTTTTTTAAAAGTAATCAAAAACTTCTAAAGAATTTTATTGAAATTTTAAAAAATTGGTTCCAGAATCTTTATTAAATAATTGCATCTAGAATCTTTATTAAAAGTTCAATGAATTCTTGTGAAAAATGTTCTTCAAATTTTTAATCCTAATTATATTTAATTGAGCAATTCAATTCTAATTTTATTAAAAATAATTGAATTCTTATAATGAATTTCATCAAAATTTTGGAAAATAATTGAATTCTTATAAGGAATTTCATCAAAATTTTAGAAAATAATTGAATTCCTCCAAAGAATTTTATTATTTAGGAAAATAATAAATAATAATAATAAATTAATTAATTATCTAATAAGTGCAATTCTGTAAATTTTGAATCCAAAATTGTACAAAAGTTGAAAACGATGCTGAAGAATAAAAAAATTTGTAATTTGCATAATAATTTGCATTAACAATCCTATTTTTATTATCCTAATCTTAATATTTAAAAATCCTGCTCCTAATTGTAGTATTTTAATTAAATACAAATAAAAAGCTATCAACTTTTAATTGTCTCAAAAAAGAAATGATTCCTGAATTTAAATCACTTACAATTCTGACCAAATTTTTTCATCACAAGAAAAATTACGAAAAAATCAATCATATTTCTTGGCAGTTACAATAATACTGTAACTGTCAAGAAATTCTCCTTCTCTAAAAATTTAAAGAATAACAAAGAACATGATGAAATGATAAAATAAATTAATATATATTTTTAATATCTTATCGAATGTGAATTGATATTATATCATTATCTCTGATGAATTCTCCAATATTACCTTATTAGACGTTACAATTGCCTCAAGTACTATAATCATTAATTCATGAATGACGCATTACGTAGATTTTCTTTTTAAACTCACCACGTGACATTGTATATATATATACAATATTTATTTGCCTGCGTTGTAGGAATAACTCGCTAGTACAGTCGACACGCTCTGTCAGAGTGTGTCAATGAAAAAACATTTCATTTCCCGCATTGAATAATCTCTCGCAAAATGATTTCAATATCTCTAATACTACTAACATTCATAATCGGTATTATTGTTCTTCTGTCAATCAGTCGTCAATCAAACATATGGAAACGTAACGGAAAAATACCCCACTTAAAACCAGTGCCAATTTTGGGCAATACATTTGCAGCATTTTTCTTAAAACAAAAATCCCTCGCCGAATGGATATGTGAAGTATACAATAGATTCTCATCGGCAAAATATTTCGGACTTGTTGACTTTGGTCTACCAGTGATTGTTCTTCGTGATGCGGAATTAATAAAAGATGTGTGCGTCAAATTATTCGATCATTTTCCCGATCATAATAATATAATTGATGAGAAAGTTGATCCAGTATGGGGTAAAAATGTATTTGCATTGAGGGGTGATCGTTGGAGGGAAATAAGAAATACACTGAGTCCATCATTTACTGGCAGTAAGATGAAATTTATGTACGAATTAGTGGACAAGTGTTCGGAAAATTTTGTCAATTATTATTTAAAGAATTCGGAGGAGGCAAAATTAGTCGAAATGAAAGATTCATTTACGAGATACACGAACGACGTTATAGCAACGGCTGCTTTTGGAATTGGTGTTGATTCAATGAAGGATAAAGATAATGAATTTTACCTACGTGGTAAGGATGCTATGAATTTTATGACTTTCTTTCGTATGATAAAATTCTTTTTCTTTCGATTCTGCCCGAGTGTGATGTTTCTTATTGGTGAACCGTTCTTGTCTCGTGGTACAAATCGCTTTTTCAAATCACTTGTTCGCGATACAGTGGAAACAAGAAAGGCGAAAAATATCATCAGACCTGATATGATACATTTATTAATAGAAGCTAGTAAAAATGAGAATGGTGTTGAAGTGACGATTGACGATATGATTGCCCAAAGTTTTATATTTTTCTTGGCCGGTTTTTCCACTTCGGCAACATTAATGACATTTGTTGCCCATGAATTGGCTGTGAATCAGCATATTCAAGAGAAATTGCGTAAAGAAATTGATAGTTTTACAAAAGGGGATTCGAAAATTTCTTACGATAGTTTATCAAAAATGAAGTACTTGGATATGGTTATTTCTGAAGCTTTGCGAAAATATCCACCAGCAGGAGTTGTGGATCGTTTGTGTGTGGAAAAATACACATTCTCTAGAGCAACACCAGACAGCGAGGACTATACAATTCAACCAAATTCTCTTATATGGTTACCAATATACGCCTTGCAAAATGATCCAAAATATTTTCCAGATCCTGATAAATTTGATCCTGAGAGATTCAATGATGAGAACAAGGACAAAATTAATCCGTACGCGTATATTCCATTTGGACTTGGACCACGGAAGTGCATCGGGAACAGGTTTGCTCTGATGGAAACGAAAATTCTCTTTGTTCGTATTTTACAACATTTCACTTTAGAAACTACTGACAAAACTAAATATCCCGTTGTGTTCGAGAAGGGATTTAATGTTGCCTATGATGGAGATTTTTTCGTCAAAATGATTAAAAGAACAAACTAATTTTAAAGAACAGAAAGGGAGATTTATTATTAAATACATAAATGTAAATGTGTAAAGATATTTTTGTCTAATGGATATTATGTCTAGTGATTTATATGATAAATGAAATTTATATCAAGTGATTTCTATGTCAAACATAGGAATTATGTTAGAGGATTTTTATGTAACATGTAATATATATTAAATTAATTTTAAGTCAATTGATATTTATATCAAATGAATTTTATGTTCAATGTAAATGTAAGAGAGAAACGATCAATCTAATTTAGGGTTGCCACAAGTCAGGGAATTCAGGGAAAAGTCAGGGATTTTTATTAAAAGTACTGGAAAAAATTAAGTTTTTAGAATTTATAAGAACATTCTGAAATTTTGTGTTTTTTGTTTAATAAAATTCTTGGCAAAATTCCAAAAATTTTCCTCATGTAAATTATTTTTAATATCTACTATTTTAATAAAATTTTACAAAAGAATTCTATTATTTAAACAAAATTTTAATAAAAATTCCACAAGAATTCAATTATTTTTTACCAATTTTTTACAAATTTCTTCGCATCAATGCAATAATTTTTAATTTTTTAATGAACTTTCACCAAAGAATTCAAATATAATTCAAAGAATTGAAAAAAATAGTTCTGAGAAATTCAATTATTTCGAAAAATTTAAATAAAATTCTTTTAAAAATTCTATTATTTAAAAGAATTTTGACAATATTCTTTACAAGATTTAGTTAATAAACTTGCAATTTGAATAAAATTTTCCTATACAATTCAATTATTTTTCAAATAATACATTTTTTATGGGAATTCAATTATTTAAAAAAAATTTAAATAAAATTCTTCGCTAGCAATCAATTATTTTCATTAAAAGAAAAATTTTTCTCGAGAATTCAATTATTTAAAAAAATTTTGATAAAATGCTTTATAAATTTAAAAAATTATAATAAAATTGGTAGTAAATTCTTCCCAAGAATTAAATTCTTTTCAAAAATAAACATTTTTACAGGAATTCAATTATTTAAAAAGAATTTTTTTTAATTCTCTGTCAGATTTCAATTATTTTCAATTCTTTAATGAAATTTTTCGGTAGAATTTAATTATTTTCAAAAAATTTTTTAAAAATTCTGAGAAATTCAATTATTTAAAAAAATTTGAATAAAATTCTTCACAAGAACTTAATTATCTTCGTGAATAATAATATTTTTCTCCGGAATTCAATTATTTTTACAAATAAAATTCTTTACAGTAAATTCAATTCTTTAAAAAGATTTTTAATAAAATTCGTTGCATGAATTCAATGACTTTCATAATTAATATAACTTATCGCAGAATTTTAATTATTTTTTATACAATTTTAAATATGATGATAGAAAATTGCATTTATTTAAAATTTTTTTTTAAAATTCGCCGAAGGAATTCAATTATTTTTAAAAATTTTGATAAAATTCTTCATAAAAATTCAATTTGAAGAAATATTCAATTAATAAATAAATTCTTTATTTTTGTATGCAAATAATTGAATTCTCAAAAAATTTTCTAATAAAAATTTATTAAAAAATGAATTTCAGGTTAAATTTTAGTTAATAATTGAATATTAGAAGAATTATTGCGTGGATTTTTTTTAGAAATAATTGAATTTTGAAAAGGTTCAAATTAAAATCTTTAAAAATTTTAATTTATAGCTACAATATTCTTATATGAAGTAATGATTTTATCACTCTGTCATCTTAAATTTATTATAAAACATGATCGAGTCGAAGACTCGGAGTAGTCAATTTTTTCATGTTTTATAATAATATTCTCATAAGTTATTGAATTTGAGAATCTTAACTCCTATAGAAAAATAATAATGATGAAATACTTATTTAAAAAAGAAGTTATTGATGTTCTTCAGGGTCAGGGAAAAAGTGAAAACTTTGTCTGAAAATCAGGGAAAAACAAAATTAAGGTTTTATGGCAACCCTGTAATTAAATAATTGAAAATAAAAGAAACGATTCTATGTACAACTTAAAAGAAAACCAAAGTGATAATTACCTACAATGTTTCAATATTTAAAAATATAAATAAAATATTTTTCTAAAGAAAAAAGTAATATTATCAATATTTCCATTTTAATATTATTTATCAGACAATTAAGTTCAATCGCAACTTGATAAAAAAACATTTTGTTTTCATAATTCTTATTTTAGTAAATAAATATTTTTATATCTAAAAAAATAAATTTTGTTAATATAATTTTTACTAAAGTGTCGTCTACAGATTTTCATTCTATGTCCTATTCCATATAGAATTAAAAAAAATTAATCTTTTGAATTTTCATATTCTAATTTATATTAATTAGTTCGAATTTTTATTCCAAATATGCTAAATGGTTTTATGTGAAAAATTACTACGTCAAATAAGATTTCGAGAAAATTCATTCATACCTTTCTAGTGAATAATATATAGACGTTTTTTTCTAAGATATACGTTTTAAATTTAATTGCTCCTTGTTAATACCATTTTTTAATTAATTAAAAAACAATACATATTTTTAACTTTATTTATCACAATTCCGACTTTAATCGCAAATAGATAAAATAATGTAATAAAAAATTATATAAATTTTTTTATTCACTCTGAGTAATGTCATAAGCGTAGACATAGTATTTAAACTACAGCGAGCACTGAACATTGTCAGTAATAAAACAACTTCGTAGAATCGAACATCAGCACGCGACTCTTTAAATTACGTGATTAAGATATTAATCGAATATTCTAATCTAATATCGTTTAAAAACACATAAAAAAATGCTAACAGTGTGCTTACTAATATTAACACTTATAATCGGTGTACTTATAGCCCTAATTTTACTTTCGCATCGACATAATATAAATTATTGGCGTAAAAAAGGATTAGTTTCCTACGTCAAACCGGTGCCATTCTTTGGGAATTTCTATTCAATGACATTTAAAAAACAGTCAATAACTGATTTTACAAAAGAAATCTATAACTCTTTTCCCGAAGCAAAGTATACCGGAATGTTACAATTCAATTTACCAACACTAGTCCTGAGGGATCCTGAACTAATAAAAGATGTTTGTATAAAAAATTTCGAGCATTTCACAGATCATCGAAATTTTGTTCCCGAAGATGCGGATCCATTGTTTGGAAGAATGGTATTTTTTCTAAAAGGTGAAAAATGGCGGGAAATGCGAAACACTCTAACCCCATCGTTCACGGGAAGTAAAATGAAATTTTTATTCGAATTAATATCAAAATGTTCAAATGATTTTGTTCAATATTTCCTTAAACATCCAAATGAGGCGAGCAGTGTTGAAATGAAGGACACATTTACGCGTTACGCCACTGACATAATTGCCACAACAGCCTTTGGAATTACTGTCAATTCAATGGAGAATCGTGATAATGAATTCTTTCAACGAGGAAAAGAGGCCGTTGATTTTAACAGTGTTACACGACTTATTAAAATAATAGCCCTGACAATGTTCACAAATATCATGAAATTCATAGGCGAACCAATAATGTCACGTTCAACAACAAGATTTTTCCTCAATATTGTTCGCGAAACGATAAAAATAAGAAATGAAAAAAATATCACCCGTCCCGATATGATACATCTTCTAATGAAAGCCAGCAATACTGAGAAAGGTGAAAAAATGTCAATTAACGACATTGCTGCACAAGGACTAATTTTCTTTCTCGCCGGTTTTTCCACATCGGCAACAGTAATGGGTTTTATTGTTCACGAGCTCGCTATTAATACCAAAATACAGGAAAAATTACGCAAAGAAATTGATCATTTCACAGAGGAAGGAGAAATAACCTACGATACTCTATTCAAGATGAAATATCTAGATATGGTACTGTCGGAAACACTGAGAAAATATCCCGCGAATGGAATGATTGATCGTGTTTGTGTAAAATCATTTACTTTGCCAAAAGCTACAAACGATAGTGAAGAATTCTTAGTTGAACCAGATACAATATTATGGCTGCCTATTTACGCATTACACCACGATCCAAAGTATTTTCCCGATCCGGAAAAATTCGACCCCGAAAGATTTAGTGATGAGAATAAAGATAATATTAATCCCTACGCTTATATCCCTTTTGGACTAGGTCCGAGAAAATGTATTGGTGATCGATTCGCACTAATGGAGATAAAAATTTTGATTGTCCATCTATTGCAAAATTTTGTCATCGAAAGGGAAGAACGAACGAAACATCCTATTGTATTTGAGAAAAATTTTCTTGTCATTCCTGATGGTGATGCTTGGGTGAAATTTGAGAAGAGGACGGACAAAATTCATCATAATAGATTAGAGTAATTGTAATGTTTATCACATCAAGGTAACAATGAAGCAAACGAGTTCACTCTTTCATTGTTAGCTAAAAAAACCAAATTTTTATTTCTCTTATCAAAAACAAATGGGACTGTTTAATAATGAATATCTTGATTGGGGTTGTTGATACTGAACAATTATTAAAATTCTCTCTAATTTGTAATTTATGAAAACTGTATTTTTGAAAATTAAAATCAATTAAGTTTGTTGTAAATAATTAAAAGAATGGTGTAAGGAATTATAACCAAGTAAACCATATTAAATTTTTCGTACCAAGTAACAATGAAAATCTTATTACTTTTCAATTCGATAACCACTTACACTTTTCTATGACGTATTACGTCTTATCGTCTGAAGTGACCATGACGCAATCGGGGACTATTTCAAGAGCAATGTATTCCACACACTGTGTCAGTAGAACAACAACGGGCGGAGAGGAAAGATCACAATCTTTCGACATTCACTTTTTACTATAGTATATACGTAGCGTGTAAACTACAGTTTAATACTCCGGATAAGTTTTTAAATAAAGTTCTTTTCATTGATGCATCATAATTTGTCAAATGAGAATAACCGTACTATCTGTCTTATTTATTGTGGCAATTTTTTGTGCTTTCTTTTATATTGAACGATTACAAAAACTTTGGTACCAATATATAGTTCCTTTCAATAATACATCATAATTTGCAAAATGACTACCACCATGCTATTACTTCTAATATTTATAGTCATTATAAGTGTTTTATTTTTTATCAGATTTCAAAATTATTGGACTCGAAAAGGATTAATCCCCCATGTTCAACCTGTACCATTTTTTGGCAATACTTTACCAGTTTTATTTCGAAGAACTCACACTATCTCTGAATATATTTGCGAAACATATAACCTCTTCCCAACAGCGAGATACGTCGGTGGGATGCAATTTCACACGCCAATAATTATCCTAAGAGATCCGGATTTAATAAGAGATATGTGCATTAAATACTTCGATTACCTGCCAGATCACATGGGTTTATTTCCCGAAAATACAGATCCTTTGTTTGGAAAAAATTTATTTGTTCTACGTGGTGATAAATGGAGAGAAATGAGAAATGCCCTAAGCCCATCATTCACCGGAAGTAAAATGAAATTTATATTCAAATTAATATACGAATGTTCGACAAATTTTGTCCAATACTTCTTGGATAATCCGGAAGTGACGAATTCTGTAAATGTTAAAGATTGCTTCTCTCGTTATACAATTGACGTAATTGCTACATCTGCTTTTGGAATTACGGTCAATTCGGTAAAAGACAGAGATAATGAATTTCATCGACACGGTGTGGAGGCTGCGGATTTTAGTGGTATTGGTCGCGGTTTGAAAATTATGCTCGCACGTTATTGTACAACATTTATGAAATTTATAGGTGAACCAATATTGTCTCGATCGACGACACGATTTTTCAAGACAATCATACAACAGACGGTGAAAAAGAGAAAAGAATTGAACATCAATCGACCGGATATGATAAACTTTATAATAGAAGCTTGTCAAAATGAGGATGGTAAAGAATTATCAAATGATGATATTGTTGGTCATGCATTTATGTTTTTGCTTGCTGGTTTTGCCACATCTGCTACTGTTATGGGATTTCTTGCTCATGAACTAGCTGTAAATCCAAAAATACAGGAAAAGCAACGCAACGAGGTGGATCAGTTTACAAAAGAAAATGATGAAATCACATACGACACTCTTTCCAAAATGAAATATTTGGACATGGTAATTTCGGAAACACTGAGAAAGTACCCACCAAACGCAATGATGGATAGGTTATGTGCTAAGAAATTTACCTTACCAAAATCCACTCCAGACAGTGAAGAATACACCATTGAACCAAATTCCTTGATATGGTTACCAATCTACGCATTGCATCATGATCCAAAGTATTTTCCAGATCCAGAAAAATTTTCTCCGGAAAGATTTAGTGATGAGAATAAAGATAATATTAATCCTTACACTTACATTCCGTTTGGAGTTGGTCCACAGAAGTGCATTGGCAACAGGTTCGCATTAATGGAAATAAAAATTCTTTTTGTTCATTTGTTAAAGAATTTTATTCTCGAAAGGGAGGAAAGAACGAGGCATCCAATAAAATTTGAAAAAGGTTTTCTTGTTATAGCCAAAGGTGAATTATGGATAAAGTTTACTCGACGAGAGGATTGAACGATAAAATTCTGATCACTTAAGAAGAGGGTAGAAAATATTGCATACATTTATAGGCTGTGAATATTGCCACATTTCACCGAAAATCAAGAAGTAGAAAAAGTCAAGATAGTCACTACCCACACTTCCTTCGCATCTGCTTTGACCTTCGTTATTAAAAACATTCCCCTGGACGAGTTCACGCGACTTGAGTACAGTTTCATACAAATGCAATATACATTCGTACCTAAAATTCACGAGAGAGTGCGTGTAAAAGTATATTCAGTGCCATAGCGTTTCTTGAAAACATAGTCAGTGCTATATTGCTATAGCTTGATTTTTTCTCCGCGTACCTTTGCACTTTCTTCAAATAATAATAAATCAAGTTATCAGTAAAATTTGTCTTGTGTTCTCTTCACTATCTTATCAATCGTGATGAAAGTGCTGCAATTTTTTTTTCCAGATAATTGTCTACTTTACCTAAATGTTCATTTATCATATTCATAAACAAATAATACAACAGTAAAAAAAACTTTGACAGTATAAAAATAACCGTAAGAGGAAAAAGTTTGTTTTCAATTTTCGGAAAAAGTGCAACAATATCAAAAATGTTTTTACTATTCCTGATTTTTGTAATCGCTATAATTGGATATTGTTATTTACTTCTGAATCGTCATCAAAATTATTGGAAACGAAAAGGATTGATATCTCACTTAAAACCATCGCCATTGTTCGGGAATATTTTTCCAATTTTCATCAAACGAAGTGTATCAATGCCTGAATTCTCCTGTCAAGTGTATAATAATTTTCTAATAGCAAAATATATCGGTATTATGCAATTCCACACACCGGTAATTATCCTCCGTGATCCAAATTTAATAAGGGATGTTTGTATAAAAGATTTCGACAATTTTCCCGATCATGAAAGTCTAATTCCCCCAAATGCGGATCCTCTATTGGGGAAAAATTTATTTTTCCTCCAAGGTGATCGCTGGAAGGAAATGCGACACACTCTATCGCCATCATTCACGGGAAGTAAAATGAAATTTATGTTTGATTTAGTGTCAAAGTGTTCACAAAATTTTGTTAAATATTTTCTAGAGAATTCGGACGAGACAAATGTTATTGAAATGAAAGACACTTTTACTCGTTATACAAATGACGTCATCGCTACATCAGCTTTTGGAATAACCGTCAACTCTTTACAGGATCGAAATAATGAATTCTATCTCAAGGGAAAAGATGCTACCAATTTTAACAATTTTGTCCGAATTTTCAAAATGATGTTAATTCGATATTTTTCCACAATAACCAAATTAATCGGTGAGACTTTAGTGTCAAGAACGACTATAAATTTTTTCAGAACAATTATTCGCGAGACAGTGAAAGTAAGGAAGGAGAAAAAAATTATTCGACCGGATATGATTCATCTTCTAATGGAAGCCAGCAATAATGAGGAAGGTGTCAAAATCTCAGTTGACGATATCGTTGCACAAGCATTCATTTTTTACTTAGCAGGTTTTGCCACATCAGCTACTGTTATGGGATTTGTTGCTCATGAACTAGCCGTAAATCCTGAAATACAGGATAAACTCCGCGAGGAAGTGGATCATTTCACAAAAGAAGAAAATGGTGAAATTTCATATGACACACTTTCAAAGATGAAATATTTGGATATGGTCATTTCGGAAACTTTGAGAAAATATCCACCAAATGCAATGATGGATAGATTGTGCGTCAAAAAATACACTCTACCAAAAGCTACACCAGACAGCAAGGAATACACCATTGAACCAAACTCCATGATATGGTTACCAATATACGCCTTGCACCATGATGAAAAATACTTTCCAGATCCAGAAAAATTTGATCCTGAGAGATTCAATGATGAGAACAAGGACAAAATTAATCCGTACGCGTATATTCCGTTTGGAGTTGGCCCGAGGAAGTGCATCGGTAACAGATTTGCTTTAATGGAAATAAAAATTCTGTTTGTTCATCTGCTGCAAAATTTTATTCTCCAAAGAGATGAGAGAACGAAGCATCCAATAAATTTTGAAAATGGGTTTGTCGTCGGTGCTGATGGTGAATTTTGGATAAAGCTAAAGAAAAGAGTAATTAATACTTCTGAATAGATTTTTACTTTTGTACTGGACTTTGTTACTTAAATAAAAAAATTTTGCAAGCTACAAAATATTCTATTTAAATTGTGTTTTGTTTCCCTCTGTGCAAAAAACCATGTTCGTTTCCAAAAACTTTCTAAAAATGTTTTTAGAACATTTCATGTCCACCAACAGGGTTGACACAAAAATTTAATTTTTTCCCTGACTTTTCCCTGGTTTCCAGAAAAATTTTTGACTTTGGAGTCAATTAGATGGTATTTGCTTCAAATACTAAAATAATTGGTTCAAATGCCTTTTAATTGACCCCAATAAATATTTGATTCAATTAAATATTTAATTGATAATAGTCAATTAATCGGTTGTTTGAATCAAATAATTTTTTTTTGAGTGTAATTTCCCTGAATTCCCTGACTTCTCTGACCTTTGGCAACCCTGACCAAATAATGTTTCAAAACATTTTAAGAACACAGTTGTAAAAATGTTTTAAGAACATTTTTGTAAAGAACATGATTTTTGCTCAGATGGTCATTGATATTACCCTTCTTTAAATACATTATCTTTTCACTACCCTATTAACAAAAAATATTCCTTTAAATAATTTGAAAATTATTCAAAATGTTCGGATTTTTATAAATATTTAATTTTCATATTTACTGTATCAACTATTATTATTTTATTTTACATTTCTTTAGAAATATTCATAAATAATTACTATATTGCTCTTTGGTGATAGTTTTATTTTTGTCTTGCAAATAAAAAAATATATTGATCGCTTGATTATACTTTGGAAGATGACTTCATTTTATCGTATGACGTAATACACTTCCAGACTATTTTAACTTTCGCAAACTCCTCTCGTGTTTCAGTAGTAAAGAAACACTTCAAAAACGAGCATCAACATTTCACACTCCTTTAAATTTCTTTATTTATAAAATGACTTAAAAATTGTTTGAACTCCCTTAAAATGTTTACCAAAGAAAATATTTGAATAATAAGTATAAAATAGATAAAAATAATTATAAAAATCACAATTCTAAAAATACACCACAATAACAAAACTAATAGTTTAAAAAAAGTATTTTAAAAATATTCCACCAGTGTTAAAAAAAGTTTGTTTTGAAAATTAAAAAAAATGATTGCTATCTACCTATTGTTATTCATTGTTGCTACAATCAGCCTTCTAGTATTTACTCATCGTTATCGAAATTATTGGACAAGGAAAGGAGTAGTTCCTCACGCAAAACCGGTTCCACTATTCGGAAATACTTTGGAAGTGATGTTTAAACGAACTCTTTCAGCACCCGAATTTATCAATCAAATATATAATCTATTCCCAACTTCTAAATACACCGGTATAATGCAATTTCATACACCACTAATTGTCCTCCGAGATCCTGAATTAATAAAAGAAATTTGCATCAAAGACTTTGATAATTTTCCCGATCATAATAATTTTTTCTCCGAAGATGCAGATCCATTGTTTGGAAAGAATTTATTCGTTCTTCGCGGTGCAAGATGGAAAGAAATGAGAAATACATTATCGCCAACATTCACAGCAAGTAAAATGAAATTCATGTTTACATTAATATCAAAATCAAGTGAAAACTTTGTGAATTATTTTTTGAATAAAGAAGAGGAAATTTTGACTATCGAAATGAAGGATGCATTTACGAGATATACAAATGATGTCATAGCAACAGCAGCTTTTGGAATCAGTGTAAATTCTTTACAAGATCGTGACAATGAATTTTATATGAAAGGAAAGGATGCAACAAATTTTAGTAGTTTTCTCCGAGGATTAAAATTTGTTGCTCTACGTTATTGTGGACCAATTATGAAGTTACTTGGTGAAAAAGTAATGTCACGTTCGGCGACAAATTTCTTCACTCAAATTATTCAAGAAACGGTGAAAATAAGAAAGGAGAAAAATATAGTTCGTCCTGATATGATTCATTTATTAATAGAGGCTAGCCGCAATGAAAATGGTGTTGAAGTGACAATTGACGATATTATTGCTCATTCAATTATATTTTTTCTTGCAGGATTCTCTACATCGGCAATAGTAATGGGATTTGCGGCGCATGAATTGGCTATGAATCAGGACGTGCAGGATAAACTCCGCGAGGAAGTGGATCATTTCACAAAAGAAGAAAATGGTGAAATTTCATATGACACACTTTCAAAGATGAAATATTTAGATAGTGTAATTTCGGAAACACTTCGAAAATATCCACCAAACGCAATGATGGATAGATTGTGCGTCAAAAAATACACTCTACCAAAAGCTACACCAGACAGCAAGGAATACACCATTGAACCAAACTCCATGATATGGTTACCAATATACGCCTTGCACCATGATGAAAAATACTTTCCAGATCCAGAAAAATTTGATCCTGAGAGATTCAATGATGAGAACAAGGACAAAATTAATCCGTACGCGTATATTCCGTTTGGAGTTGGCCCGAGGAAGTGCATCGGTAACAGATTTGCCTTAATGGAAATAAAAGTTCTATTTGTTCATTTACTACAAAATTTTATTCTCCAAAGAGATGAAAGAATGAAGCATCCTGTAAAATTTGAGAAAGGTTTCGTTGTCGGTGCTGAAGGTGAATTATGGATTAAGTTAAAGAAAAGAAATTCAGAACTGTGAAGCACCGATTTTTCAGTATTTACAATATTGACTTTGTAAAAAAAACATTTTCATTCACAAAATTTGTTTAATCGATCTATTCTATCCAAACACTGTTTAAAACATCATAACCTATTTCTACCTTTTCTACTTTTTCCATTTTTTATAAACGTATTTATCACGTATTTATTAATTATTGATATAATTGTATAAGATTGTTTGAATCATATCTGATCTCGAAACAGAAACTCTTTTACAGATTACTACTGATAATAAATCTTTTTAATAAATTGCAATAAGCTTAAAACCTTTTGTCTCTTTTCACTCCTCAATAATTGAGAATAATAAAACGAAAGCTGATTATTCAATTATGTTTCTCTTTAGGAGAAATGCTTCTACTTGTGCTGTTAATATACTAAGAAATAAAGTTTCTGAAATTGAGTTATTGAAATGTTTTCAGAGTCTGATCTCAAATTACCAAAAAGGATTCAAGAAAAACTTTTTAAAAATCAAGATGCCATTTTAGAAAATATTTCTATTTTTCCAAAACAAAAATAATTTTGATCTATTAACTATTTTTTCCTAGTTTTCCAATCTTTAACCTATTATTGAAATGAAACTTTGGTAGAATTTTTCCAGTTTGTCTGAATTCTAAAAATATCCTTATTTAAAGTCTCTTTTATCAAGGGAAGGAGGATCAATGTCTGCAAATTTTTTTTTTTATAATTGCAGTTCGTGTAAAATTCTGATAAGTTGCAAATTGTAAACAAAGAAAAAATACCTCAATGCTATTAATATTGGTTTTTTTAAAATTATATAAAAAAACAAGTTCGAATCGCAAAGTTGTCTCACGCACATGTCTTTCCCATCCTTGAAATTTATTTATACTTCTTTGATGAGTTCTTAGTTAACATAATTATTATTAAATAAGACTTTGTAAGTAATATTTTTAATGAAAATTATAGTTAATGAATACATTTTTTCTAAAATATAGCAGAAAGCTTACACGACAAGCTTCGGGCATTTTCAGGGTTGCCATAGATCATGGAAGTCAGGGAATTCAGGAAAAAGTCAGGGATTTTTATTAAAAGTACTGGAAAAAATTAAGTTTTTTGAATTTATAAGAAAATCCTGAATTTTGGTGTCTCTTTTGTTTGCCTCATAAACTATGAATTTGCCAAGAATTCAAATACAAACCCTTCAAATTTTTTCTATTTCTGATAATAATTTCTTTTTAAATAACTTAATTCTTGAACAACTATCATAAAATTATTACTTATAAATTATTTAATGAAAAATTTTACTTAGAAATTTCAAAAGAGTTGCGTTTACAATCTTCATAAATAGATGAACTTCAAAGGTTTCAATTTGAAATTTTGTAAAACTTGTACACAAAGCTAGCTGAAAATTTGTAGTAAGAATACGTGCTATCAGGGTGCAATTTTCACTACTGTCTGGGGAGTAAAAATTTACAACTAAAAATCCTAAATAAAATAGTCAAATTTCACTAAAAATTAGTAGAAATTTTTACTAATTTCAATTAGTTGACTTTTCCCAATTTTAAGTTCAGAGAGAATTAAGTTTCAGTATAGCAAAGTTGCATCATATACGTATATGTATTCGCTGACCTTGGCATTTGATCGTTAAAGTTGTAGCAGTTCTACTTTACCACTTTACTATACAGTAGTCACACAACGCAACATGGCGTTCACATTTTTATTGCTCTTGACATTCATACTCGATGCCGTTGCCATTCTGTTATTCCTTCATCGTCAACTTGGTTTGGAAAAAAATTAACAGCGTACATCGAACTAGGTGATTCTATTTAGGAATATTTTTACATTTCTTGATTAACGTTGAAAGAAAATACGAAATACCCTAAACTCCATCGTTTACGATTTATGTTCCAATTAATTTCAAAATGTGCGGAGAGTTTTGTACAATATTTTTTGGATAATCCAAAAGAGACTGATTCTGTGGAAATGAAAGATGCATTTACAAGATTTACGAGTGATGTGATTGCTACAACTGCTTTTGGGATTACTGTAAATTCAATAAAGGAAAGAGGGAATGAATTTTATTTGAGATAAAAAGAAGCTACTGAATTTATGACACCTTTTTGTTTCGAATTTTCTCAAAATTTACGAATTTCATTGGTATGTCACTTTTATCACTTTCGACAAATCGATATTTTAGGAGATTATTCAGTAAAACTGTTGAGGCAAGACGGAATTCATCTTTTAATGGAGACCTAGTAAAAATGACAAGTGTTCAAGTCTCTATTGACGGTATCACAGCTTTTGTCTTCATGTTCGCTGGATTTGCACCAACAGCATCAGCTTTAATGGGATTCATAGCACACGAATTGGTCGTAAATTTTCAAATTCAAGAAGAAGTGGATCAATTTCTAAAAAAAGATGAAAAAATTTCCTACGACAGTCTTTCAAAAATAAAGTATTTTGATATAGAGATTTGTGAAACATTATGTGTTCCAATTAATACATTCTACCCAAATCTACACCTGACAGCAAGTAATAACCAACAGAAGAAACAAAGCATGCAATTGTTTTTGAAAAAGGTTTCAATACTATAATGTAAAGTTTTTAATAAAGTTTCAAAAACGCCATAATAGAAAAAAACTCTTTCAGTATCGCACTAATAAAATTCACGTAGGTATACTTTTCTCAAAACTAATTTCTCTTCATCAATTGAAAGTGTAGAAAAGTTTTGTAATCGATGAGAAATATTGTTAATACTCGGACAATATGACGATGGAAGAATCGAGAAAAGTAGAACGTTTTCTAAAATGAGAAGCTTCCCTTTTCAGAGAAAAAAAAAGTTCATAATACTGAGTTGGAGAAACGTTGAAAAGTTTCTAACGGCGGGGGGAGGTTTGAAATTTCTCTCAAGCTCTTTTTCTACTTAAGCACCATGACGGCCGCTCTCTGAACTCTCTAAAGTTTATAAATAAAGAAGTTCGAAACGGTTAGACAAAAAGGTGCCCAAGAGTCATGAACATGAATTTCACAGCGCCCTCGTTTGTATAAAACTTGATGTGCAAAAACATTCATCGATCTCCACTTGTACGCGGCCATATTTCTTTTTCAATCTTAATTATATTAATTTAGTCCAGCGACTTTATCATCAGGACAAAATTATTCGCACGTAAAATATTACAATGTCAAAACTCTCATCATGTACCTACTTTGTCAGAATAATAATTTTTCCATAGAAAAAGTCTATCATCACTGTTTTAAATTCTTAATTTTCAATATTCAAATTTTGTTTTTCTATTTTAACAATATTTATATAGACATATTAAATAAAATAAAAATAAATATAAATAAATATTTATTTTATTTTATTTATTTAAGAATAATAATAAATATATAAATAAATATAAATAAATACAAATGAATATAAATAAAAATAAATAGAAAATAATTATTTGCAATCATAAATAATATTCGTAGAAAGAAAAATTAAACACAAACGACTCAATCTGTTTTTAAATACAGAAATTGACGAAAAAGAGTCAAGAGAAAAGAAAAAACAACAAAAGATCAGTGAACAACTTAAAAGAGATGAAAGTAGACCTCCCATTCCGCAAACTTCACTTCTTCCTTTAATCTCTTTTTTCCTTAACACAAGACGAACATAAAGGAAAAGAAAGAAGAAAATTCCTAATTATAATAAAACTCGAGAAAAAAGACAGGAAACAAACTTTATAAATCAGAATTAATTTATAAGAAATTTGCGAAGAGAATCGAAAGAAAAAATAGTCGAATTATGCCTGTAAATAGTGACTAAATGTAGAAAAATTTCTTTACGACATTCAGACAATAATTAATTAGAATACAATTTTTGTTAAAGAAATACAAAAAATTGTTTAAAAAGTTAAGTATATCAATTTATCAATTCTAAGTATCTATTTCAGTTTATCTACACTATTATATATATCAACTAATTATATATATTAAAACTAAATCAGTCTAATTGTATTATTAACCACAACAATTCATTTAATTACAGTTTTCGAAATAGTATTAAAATGATATCAAATTGGATCAAATTATCAAATGATACCAAAAATTTTGATTAAATTATAATTTTATCCACACTTATGGTATCAATGTTATAATTTGATACTTTCAAGTTAACAGTCTAATCACCCAAATTGATTAGATTACATTGATTAAATTAGTTTAATTAAATTGATATCCACTTCTACACAAACTCTACACGAGAATATAAATAATTTTTTATTTCAATATATAATATTTAATATAATAGCAATTCTAATTAGGTATAATATTTTATTATAATATAATTTTCGACGTATTTTTATATTTGTCTACACTGAGCAAACAATATATTTTATTCAAACATAATTATTTTTGAATCTTTCCGGAATTATTCACGAAACGAAATAATTTTCACGAAGCGAATAATTATCTTCGTTATACAGTCAACCAAAAATAATTTTTTAATTGAATTTAATAATTTTGATGGAATAAAAGTTACGTTGAATTAAATTATAAAACACGTTTAATTTAAACATATTTTTTTTATTGGTTACTTATTTTTGGATTAAAAAAGTTTTTTTCTTAGTTTAGAGTTTATTTGTGCAGAAGGGATATTTTGTTATTATTAATTAAGTAAGTTAATTATATTAATCAAATAAAAATAATTAATTAAATTAATTTAATAGAATTAGATTTCTAGCTGCAGTAGTAAAAGAATTTTAGTCAGACATATAAACGATTGAAGCCATTGAAGCTACGGAAATTTAAATATCAGTACTAAGAAGCAGTTTTAGTCAGACAGCACGTTTTAAAGTAACAGTTATTAAGTAAGTAACAGCAGAAGGTTAAAGTCAGACAGAGGTAATATCAGTTTAGAGTCAGACAAAGAGTTCTACAAATTTCACTATTTTCAGCGCAGAATTAATAATAATAGAATGTTTTAGAAAAACAGAAATTTTCCATTTTAATAAATTTTAATTTAATATTTCAGTAATCAATTTTAATTTAATTAATTTGAATAATTGATTTTAATAATTGATTTTAATAATTGATTTTAATAATTAATTTTAATAATTAATTTTAATAATAAATTTTAATAATTAATTTTAATAATTAATTTTAATAATAAATTTTCAATAATTAATTTTAATAATTAGATTTACCCTAAAAATTATTTTTGATTCAAGTAAATATTTATTTGCTAATAGACAAGTAATTGATTATTTACATCTAAATAAATTGTATTTTCTGTGTAATAATTATTTTTAAATAATTAATTGTAATAGTTTAAAATGTAATAATATTATTCAGTCA